GACTAATGAATAAATAAAAAAACAATAGAAATAAAAAGTACAGTTGAGAATGTAGACTTAACAGACATATATATAATATTTTATCCATCAATGACTGATTACACTTTCTTCTCAGCAGCATATAGGTGCTTCTCTGATATAGAGCATGTTATATAAGCTATCACATATTTTGGAATACAATTGCAATATTACCTTAATATATTTTTAGCATCTGTAAGGTTATTTTGAAAGCTTTCTTTCCATTAATATTAATTTTTGTGTTCTTACTTTTTTCTTGATTCGACTTGTTTGATTTTTATCAAATTTTAGCTGTATTATTTCTTCTCTATTTCATATATTTCTGCTCCTACTCTTAATTTTTCCCTCCTACTACATAATTTGAAAATAATTTTATTATTACTGTAGCATCTTTCTGATAAAATATCCAATAATAATGTTCAAAGACAATTAGAATTGTATTTTAAAAGTACCTTAAGTTATAAATGGTAATCTGAATACTGTTTTATACTACATATCTAGATATTTTAAGATTTCATTATCACTTAGTTCAAAGCACTTTTTATTTACTTTTCTTGTGCTTTCTCCCTTGATCTCTGAGATATTTATAAATTTGCCATTTAATTTTTAAATAGTTGATATATAGGGGAGGGGTTCTATATACCTTAAGATGGTTGATTTTGTTTTTAGTTTAGTTGGACACAATACCTTTATTTATTTATTATTATTATTTTTTTATGTGGTGCTAAGGATCGAACCCAGGGCCTTATACATGCTAGGCGAGTGCTCTACTGCTGAGCCACAACCCCAGCCCCAAGATGATTTTAATATTGATTTTTAATATAATAAGTCATGGCAGTTCCTGTAAAGCATGATTTCTGTGAGCAGTTGGGCTCAGTGGAAAAAAAATTGATAAATATAATACAGTTCTATATTGTCTTTGAACATGATTATTGGATATTTTAGTTAATCTCTTCTTTATATAAGAAAATATATAAAAATCAGAAAAAAGCTACTATTCACTTCAGATGTCATAACATTTATGCATTTTAAACATTCTTAGTAAAACCATCAGGATCTTTGTTAGGTGTTTGGGCTCAACTATAATTGCACCTAAAATTATTTCATGTGATATAATTTTTCTTAATACTTGCTTTTAAATCTCCAAGTTTTAATTAGGGTTGTGGCTCCGTGGTAGAGCATTCACCTAGCATGTGTAAGGCCCTGGGTTCGATCCTCAGCACCACATAAAAACAAGTAAAAACAAAAATAAAGGTATTGTGTCTAATTACAACTAAAAAATAAATATTAAAAAAATAAATATCCAAGTTTTATAAGATATATTATTGAGAATTATTTTCTTTTCAAAAATAAATGAAGACCAGAACTACCAATTAGACTGTAAAACTATAATTAATGAATCTTTCAAAGCCCTTGTAAAATTAGTTTTTCTATTAATTTCTGTGACAGTTGTTACTATGTTTTTTCATTAAAATAGGCGTGTAAAGCAAAAGACATAAAGTAAGATGATTATCTCAAACACTATAGTAGACATTTATTTTCTTGAGGAAGAAGATTGGTAATATCTCTATTCTACGAATATTTGTTAAATGTCATGAGCCAAGCTTTAAAATATAACTTTTTAAAGGAATCTTTATTGAATGCTTTACTTTGAGATTTATAGTGTGTCTAATGTAAGCCTAAGAATTATAGATTTACAAAAATTAGAATATGCCAATAGAAAAAAAAATTAAAATGTTTTGAGTTAGGATATTTGTATTTTAATGATATAGCAACATATTTCATGTATAAAATCACAAAATAAAATAATTAAAAAATATTTCACTAAGACTGACATAATATTATATTTCCTCTAAGAATACCAGCATTGGACTGGGGATATAGCACAATTTGTTGAGAGTTTGCCCTGCATGCATAAAGCCCTGGGCTCTAATCCTCAGCACCACAGAAAAACAACAACAAAAAAGAATACCAGCATTGTTTAGGAAGACAGGAATTAGAAAAAAATAAAATACATTCAGAAATATGATAAACTATGAATGAAGAAGTGCATACAGTGAGCTACAAAGAGGTCTCCAACCATACCTCCAAGATCTCTTGAGGGGGCAAATGGGATACATTTAGTCTTTGGGCTATTCTTATTGGTACGTGTCTTTCTATTGTATTTGCAATAGTGCAATAGGATAGTGAAGTGGTATTAAAGAGGATTTAACTGCTACAGTTTTTGGTGTCATACCTACTTGGACTTGAGACAAAATCCTGTCTCCACCATGAAAACACAGATATGTTAGATTTCCTTTATTGCGCTTTTCTTTAAATAAGACAAATAATATTTGAGCTATGATAACAATGAAGTGAAAAAAATTTAAAAAATAAAAAAAGATATAGCTTTGAGTTTTCAAAATAAGTAATTTCTTATTCTTCTTGCTGACTCTCTCAAAGAGATATTAAGCAATATTTTGAAGAAATTTTCAATGTAAAAATCAAGACTGTATAGCATTCCACAAATGTGATTTGTTCTCTTACTGAAAATTTTACCCAATAATATTACTGATGATAATGTCTAAATTATTAACATTTATATAATTAAATTATATATTCAGAAGTGACCTGCCTTTTAGGTAGGCATGCTATAGTAGGCAGCAAAAGGAAGACAACACAAAGCAAGTCTGGGGATCTATGTTTTTATATGAATGAAAATTGTTGACTTGGTTATGTTACGTTTACCTAGTGTCTTAGAAGTTAAGGCATGCTTTTAACTAATAGAGTTTGCCTAACTTTATATCACCAAAACTATAATTCAATTTATATATTTTATTTATGATTTGATGACAATATTACCAAAATAAGTTTTAAAGAGCATGTATGCAGTTTGCATGCTACCATTTTTCCACCTTGTATCTAACATGAATTAATTTAAAAGACCAGTTTATAAATAATAAAATGTATTCATGATGCTAGCTATATTTCCAATTAATAGATAAAACAAATAAAAATTCTAGTTATAGTTCCTTTTCATTACTACAGGGATATCATTTTTTATATTACTCATGCTACAAAAGCCTTCTGAAATAGATGAAATTTCTTCTGGCATGTATCTATTGAATATTTATGCTTTAAATAGTTCTTTTTAAAATTTTTATTGAAATGTAAGCTTTTTGCTGGATTGTCTATCTGTTCACTTTCTCTTCTATTAGCAGAAGTGCCTACTAGACTTCTTGGCTTTTAAAAACTAGTGTTAATATTAACTAATATAATTCAGGCATTTCCAAACCAACTTAACATTTGAATATTTATGAAGTTCAAGATTACCTTTTGTTACATTGTATAACTGAAGACTTTCTTTTCTTATTGTAACTATTTATAAAAATGTAAATCATGAAGATTTACAGTGAAATTTCATTAAAAAATTGCCTCATGTAACTGTGAGCTTTATGAACATGGGCATAATTAGGAACTGTAAGTATTTTCTTTTTTTAGTATTTATTTTTTAGTTTTTTAGGTGGACACAATATCTTTATTTTATTTTTATGTGGTGCTGAGAATCGAACCCAGGGCCTCACACATGCTAGGCGAGTGTGCTACCACTTGAGCCACATACCAGGTCCACTGTAAATATTTTCTTGGGACCATTTTCAAAAATTTTATTTTTCATTAAAATAATACGTGACAAAACTAAATGTCAGCAGGAGAATTTTTTTGTTTGCATGAACTAAGATATATGATGAAAGTAGTGATTAAATGAACTAGATTAATTACAATTCATGGAAATAGATATTTAATCTGGGGCTAAAGAAAACAGAATCTTATGTTTCTGACAATCATTCTGATCTAATGGATGCTTTTCTTCTGATCCATTCATATAAATTAAATATTTATATTTAGACTACACTTAATTATACTGAAATCATTGATTACTGTATTATATTGTATAGCTTACTAAATAAATAAATGTGCAAGGGAAAAAAGGACCATCATGATGGTGTAAAAAGCAGATGCTTGTTTGCATTGATTGTCCTGTCATGCATTGCTCCTTTAACATTGCCATTAACACATGTCCAACAGTTATTTACCATATTTCTTCTTACAATCAGATCAATAGGCATTATATACATTGCTATGCTTTGTAAATGAGATATACCCCAAATGGTCCTGTGCTAATGCAGAATATTTGGAGGTGAAATGATTGGATTCTGAGGGCTGTAACCTGTCAGTCCATCCCAGTTTGCATGGACTGGGTTGTAACTGCAGACATGGTGGGCATGATCGGAAGAGGCAGATCACTGGAGACATGCCTTGGAAGACTGCATCTTTTCTGTGGCCCTTTCCCTTCTTCTATCCAACAATATGGTCCACCTCACCTTGGGTCCAAAGCAGTGGACTCTGCCAACCACAGACTGAACCTCTGGAATTGTGAGCCAAACTAAACTTTTCCTCCTCTAAGTTTTTCATCTCAGGTATTTTGTTCAAAGCAATACAAAAGCTAACTAAAACTATGTCAATACAAGTTTCATTTACAAATGATATAAATAAATTTTGACTCAAGAGTTTTTTGGTTTAGAGCATTGCATTATATTTCATTCTCTTAAAAAATTATCTTTTTTTTCTTTAACACCTCACTTCTGTTTTTTCAGTGAAGAAGAAATGGTAATTTAGAGTAACATATATATTAATATTTCTTAATGCTTAGAATTAAATTTGCATAATTAATATCCATATTTCAGAAGTCACATAAAATGAAATGTATGGTATTAATTTAGTAATAACAGGTAAAGTTTGTTTTAGGATATAAGTTCTTATTACCTTTAGATTTTTAAGGGTAATAACAATGCCTTGGCATACCATTTCCTATACATGCTATAATATCAGTGTCTACATTTCCATAAATTGTTTTTAAGTTATATAATTTGTATAATAATGTACTTTTGTTCCTTTGTTGTCATAGCTAATTTTATGTATGTATCTTAAAATGTCATATTTACCTTTACTTTCCTTTTCAGATTTTTCAATTTTCTTCTTCCCTGGGGAAGAGGGAATAACAATAAATTATCATCTTAAAAAACGTGATTTTCTTATTAATTCTTGGAATAAAGAGTTAAAGATGAGTTCAATCCTCTGAATGGAGGAGCTGGTGGTCAGGGATCTACCATTAAAAGATATATAGGAAGAGGCCATGTGTGAGAATATACATCCTGCTTGTATTCAGTCACCTCTATGCTTAGCCCTTCCTATTCCTTGCATCATTTGAGGTGAAACTAAAGGAAGCCATGGCTTTGTCAATAAGTTTGAACTCATACAATAGGGAAAACATTAAAATTTCCAATTGTTGTCTTCAGAAAATAAAGATTTAACAGTACTGTGGGTGCTCCATTAACAAAAAGTCACATATCTCCGAGTAAACTATAGATCAGTTTTCAAAACTGTCTTGATTGATTAATAATTTATTATGTTTTTCAGACAAGAAAGAAAGAAATCAATATTTAATGAGACAACCTATTAGGTGTTAGAAATGTGACACAAGGTATTTCACTTAATCCTTAAATGTGTCTTTGAGGAAGTTAGTATGCCTGCTCTGTAGATGAGAAAACTGGGAATTTGACCAATTGAGGGATTTTCTCAATCCTATACAGCTAGATACAGATTCAAATTTGCATATTGTTTTTACAATTCAATGTTATCTCTGCTGAGATGCTGAATATTTACCTGATTCTGTGACTTCTGATGTTCCCTCTTTCAGGAAAAAAAAATGTGATATAAAAATATGAATGAATAGCAATTCATTATAATAGTAGATAAATTTTATTTTCAGATATTTTCTATTAAATTATAATAGATTCATTTTCTCAAAATGATAGAAACATACTGACAATATTTCTGAAATCCATAATTAGACATCTATTGTGAAAATAGAAATATTTACAAACTAACCTAAAGCTATTGAATATAATTTTAAAATGTTAAGTCCTTTGGTTAGTTCTCTAAATTACAAATTAAAAACTACTATGACAGAAAATTTAACTTTAACATTATGGATGCATAAATGCATTCACTCACCAAATACTATTAAAGATACATAATTTATAAGATGTTGTACTAAGTGCAATTGAATGGGACCGTGACATGAAAAATAACAAATGCAAATTCTGGAGAATGAAGAGTCTACTTTTCCTTTTGTTCCTTCAGTTAACTCATAAACTAATAACTTTCTAAATATAACCTGACAGTATGGGGAGCCACTCTGAATGACCCATGCCTTCCAGTCCTGAAGCAAGAGGCTCAGACCAATCACTACATTTGTGGTGACTTGGGCCTTTTCCCAGGAAGTAGAAGGCCTGTCTTCAGGGGTAGGCCTGTCACTCATGGAGTTGAGCTACACTCACTATTCTTTTGTAATACTACCCCTTTGCCCTGTTTGGGATAGAATGTTTCATGGAAACACCCTTTGTGTGTCCCCTTCTCTTGCTCTGCCTGTGAGTGTGACCTTCCTAGATGTCAGTCAACCTGCCAACAGCAGACATCATAAAGCTAGACTCAACTCCCTGAAACCTGACCCCTGCCTCATTTGAATGGCTTCTCCTCAATAAGAGGGTTCAGCAAGTGTTCTCTCTCTCTCTTTCCACCGACCCCTAAGGTCAGAGGAGCCATCACAGGACCCAAAGAAAAAGGTGTAATGTCTCTTGTGTGCAGCCCAATTTACCTGGAGTTACCCAGAGTGTTTTAATTGTGAGAAATGTGACATAGCACAAAAAGTTTTATCTTTCCCTTAAAAATCAGTACAAGTGGTTAACATTTCCAGAGAATTTATCTGAATGGGTAAGAAATCTCTCTTAAATATCAGGTTTTCCAGTGACTTGGAAGACACAGAAGGAAAAACATTAAAATTTCCAATTGTCTCAGCAACTTAATGAGGACCTAGGTTACTTACTGAGCTCCTGTCTCAAAACGAAAAATAAAAAGGCCTGAGGATGTGACTGAATAGTTAAGTGTCCCCCACCATTCAATCCCCAGTACCAAATTAAATAAATAAATAAACTGAATAAATGAATAAATAAACAAATAAATCAGGTTTTGGTAAGTCTGATGAATTTAGTTATCAGTCTTATATAACTTTTTTGAAAAGTATTTTCATAACTCAAGAATAGTTGACTAAAATTGAATAAGGAAAATAATGAATAGTGTTTCAGAAATAAGATAATATTTTCAAGTGACTAACATTCAAGTTTAACTAGAGAAATCTAATTTTAGTAATATTCACCACACTAGTAGCAATAAGACATTGGATATGCTAGCCATTTCTCCAATTCAAAGGTAATATTTAATGTTTAAGATTGTCACTGAATTTATTCCAAGATAATTGTGGCTTCATTTTTTAGAAATCTATCATAACATTGCTAAGAAAATAAACTGGTCCTTAGTATTTAGAAACTTTAAAAATAACCTCCAGATACATCATTGGATTCACATATTTGTATCCCAAAGTAAAGTCTGGATCATATTTTGATAGTATTAAAGAAATGATTTCATTGTTTACTGTTGCATTTTTATTCTTCCCTAAAATGCCAAAGGATGAGTCTGCATTGCTAAAAAATGATGTGCCTCAAAAACTTTTTGAAAACAAGAAAATAAAAAATCTAATCTGTCAATATTGAATACTTAAAGCAAGTATCTTAGCAGTAAATTTTTTTAACCCAGATAGTATTAGAGGAAACTTCATACTGAATTTATTCAATGCATCATAACAGACAATTGAAAACTAGATAAAGAGATGCAACTACTTGTTTTTTGCACTGTTAGTAGTTCATGATACATGTTTTTATTAAAAAGACATGACAAATGAAAACATTTTAGGCTATTTCCTCGGATATCCTAGTACAGTGTAAAATGCCTAGTAGGTGTTCCACAAATACATGTTCAAGGGTTAACAAATGCAATGCACACAATGTCCTTTGTCAAACAAAATTACTTAATAGGTAAGAGCATAATATTAATTATATTAAGAAATGTGTCATATTTTTAAAGTTAATATTCCATTTAAAAACTATGAAATTAAAATAGTATACTAGTTTTTTTTAAATCTTAAATGATTCACTTACTTGGAGTTGGTTTTGGTTTTTCTAAAAGTTAAAAGAAAAGAAAATGTGGTGAATTTCTAGGTATATGTAATACATTTGTTCATTATATTTTATGTTTCTGTATTTTATAGTTAGAATGGAAATAAGGCTAAACGTGTTAAAATAAGAAATAAGGAAAGTATTTTGAGTCATTTTTAAGACATATTCCCCATGAATTTACTACAGAACAATTGTAAACTTCTAAAATACAGAACATTTTATTCTCCTCTTTATCCCCACTAAAATCTTATTCATGAATTGATATATTATGAATGTTTACAACAATCTGAGCTTCTTATTGTTTCTGAATGGCACAGAATGCATATTATTTCACTTCCTTTTTGAAAATATATTGCTAATTAACAATTTAAACTCTCCAAATATAGTATAAATGAAAAAGTTGATATAAAATATCAGAAAGAAAAATGTGTGGTAGATGAATACCTATATTGTACAAATACATTCTCTTCAATATGCCTTGTCTTCTGAAATTAGTAACTAAAAATATTAAGTGTTTACTCTTATTCTTAAACTTCTACTCACTAAAAAATAGCCTGTATTTGACAATGATTGTGAAAGATCTGAATCATGCATAATTATGTCAAATAAATGCTAATACATTAACAGTGGGAATATAAATTGATATAACTTTTACAAAAAAATTAGAAATATTTATAAAAATTCATTGGATATACCATTCACTAAAATAGTCTACTTTAAGGAATTTTAATTTAAAATTAATAAAACTACACATATTTTCTAAATTAATAAACTAAAAGTGTTATAATTTTCCTTCAAAAATATACAGTTTTGAAGGAAAATTATAAAACAACTTTTATATAGATCAAAGAGGCTTCTTAAGTAAATTATGTGCAACTCTAGTATAGAGTACTACTAATGAGTAAATTCTTTTAAAACCTTCAAAATGCATTCTAAAATAACAAAATGCAGGGAAAGTACTCTGAATATATGTTATGATATATGTTAGAAAAAGTGGGATATATATATATATATATATATATATATATATATGCACATATGCACATATATATGCACATATGCAGATATATATGTGCATATGTGCATATATAGATCCATAGATAATGGTAAAAGCATACACTAAGAAATAAGAGTGATTGCCTATTCAAAATTATTTGATATTTTTGGAATGAAAACTGGAAGAAGAGGGAAAAAGAAGGAGAAGGATATTTATTCAGTTAGCCCCTGTGTGCCTTAGTGTTGGAATCTTGCAAAATCTTAACATATTTTAAAAATTGAATCTTATTATAAAAGAATTATGTCAACTGTTATAGAAGGAATAAGTTCTATTTTAGGAAAATATATCAAATGACATTCACAGTTAGTGAAATTCAACGTATGTAATTTGAAATGGCATTTTAAGCTATCAATAGTGAATCAAATTCATTGATAAGATAAATGACAGGAATGTTGCCAAAAATTAATACAGAATATTATGGAAGAACCTCATACACCAGGAAAGCATATCTGTTCTTTTAATGTTGCTTCACTTTAGTAGCATGCTTGGCCATCCATGATTGATAGACAATACCACAGCCCTTAGGTCAGATTAACTTGATTATACTGCAAAACCACAAGACTAAATAGTACCAGGAAACAAAATGCAAAGTGCTTGCATGTATTGCTCTAATTTTCAAATTTAGTAAAAATAATGAATTAAGATAAAATGTCAACAAAAAGGTAAAAATACCTGCTTTTATAGATGGAGGTTCTTTTTCTTGATCTTCAGCTTTTTCTAGAAAGAGAAACCAAAATTTATGGCAATCAGTGGATTATTTGTGCAGTAAGCATTTCTTATTTATATATTTGCAGCAATCCTCAGCTTACACAAGAGACATGCCCCTAAAGTCATTTTTACATAACTTATTACACAGAAAGTATATTGCCCTGGAAGCAATTTATAAACAAGTTTAGGTTCAGTCTATGGACATCCTGAGAATGGTTTTCTCCTGCATGCAGCTAAAGGGCAGTGCCCAGAGTATTCACTATTCTTCTTGGGACCATGTGGTTTAAGATGATGACAGAATATGCAAAATGGACATAAGAAAACAAGTTTCTTCTTTCTTTGATGAAGTAGGAGTCAGTCCTTGGGAACATTTTAACATAGATGACATTTGCCTTTAGCATTTGACCAACTCCTTTCCTTACCTTTCTGATTCCTACTTCCCTTCTTACCAGAACAGAAACAATTTAGTGTTGGACATTCATTTCTTATTTAACATTAAATCCACGTATGTTTATCTCCAGAGAATATCACATTTTGTATATTGATTTTGTACCATCTCCCTTTTCAGGTTCTGTAGGAGTCTCATCTCTCCACCAATTCCAGAACAAATTAAATAAAAATGACAAATTAAATAAAAAATTTGTGAGTAATCGACATTACCTTAATTCTCTGAAAAATACTTAAAATATAAAGTGTTTAAGGAGATTGAACACTTTAATCAAAAGTGGAATTTAAAATGAAGCCATGTAAGAAGTGATATGTTGAAGGGAGTTGAGAATATTTGGAAATTGAGCAGATCACCAGAGTAGCCCAGGGGTAGGTCCTCTCCAGTGACTTCCAAGATGAGTCCTCCTAAGCTGTTCTTGATGTTTACTTGCCCTTTCTTTCCTTTACTCCAGAACAAACAGATTCTGTGAAATTACTACTACTTTTCTCCAACATCATACGCCAACTATTATGTAGATAAGAAGATGGAGAAATCCAATTATTATTAAACAAAGTAGAATATTTATAAGTTAGGGATTAGTAGTGTTCACAAATGAACTTCCATGAGCTGAATTTGCATAATTGGTATATTAAACAATCATGCAAAATAAAAGAAAATTAAGTTGACAATGTTTAAAGTATTAAGGTCTCATAAAAACAGCACCACAAAAATAAAATAAATCAAAAAATCACTGATAAATAACATGTTTTCAAAATTTGTGGCACAATTATGCACCATATATTAGTTCCATATCTAACTTGTCTCCTATGTTTTTTATAGGAACTTGTCAATCAGTTTTCATACAGAAACCAGAATATGGGTTATAAATAGTCTTTTATGCCTTCCTCTAAGCTCTTGTTTCACAAATATATGTCATTCAAGGATCGACATTATAATTTTGACACAATGTTAGAAACTTTTAACACCTGTATGATAATAATCATATGTTCACTCCTTCCTTAGTCTAGTAGTCTCATTTGAAACTATCTACCACTCTAATCTCTGTGTTGCACCTGTGCAATGAAATGAATGATCCTTAAAATTTGCACTCATGAAGAAATTCTATGACTTTAATAGAAAAATGACAAAATGTTTACAATTTTATAAATTAAAATGTGAAAAATCTGGTTGCAGTATAATTAGTGGAGCTTAAAGCAAATATGTATATATAAATATATATATGATTGTATATGTATATATACATTGTTCATAACACTGACAATTTTACATAATTTTGTCTTTGTTATTCATTATGTATGTTTAAACGATTTGCCACCTCTCCTAATATATTATTTTGGACATTGTATGACCTGTATGCACTCACTCATTTAATATTAATAATAGTGATATGACTTTTAGACATTTCTTCTGTGTAATTATGAAGAATCATTAATTAGTAGTGAAAGACAAAGATGTTAAATAAAAGCCATGGGAATAACATTAATTCATCACTTATAAAGGCAATTTAGCCATAAGACACATGACAAATAACATATTAAAAACAGGCAAATTGTTAAAATTGAAATGGTCAAGCGATACTTCTCAGGTTTTAAGTTCTTCATCTCTTACTTGCTTGTTTGGGTGTGGCTGTGGAGAATGAAGGAAAGTAGATGATAGATCAATGAATACAGATCATGGAAAAAAAAGTACCTTATTCACATGCTCATTTATTTGTTCTATTTTTTAGGTTGCTTCCCTTAGCTTAAGTTAACCCTTTTTCTTGAGCAGTTTTATTTTAATAATATGGCTTGTCAAAAACTGATAAGACACATGAAACAGACATAACATTTAAAGCAATCTGTATGTTCAAGGTTGGATTTTCATAATCTCCAAATATCCATATGACAGAGTGAGACACTCAGAGAGAGATAATAATGTCTTAAGAGTACAGGTGTGAGGAATATTACAATCCTAGGCATTGGTTGGAAGAAAGAAAATTTGTCATACGAGGACATGGGAAATGGTCTCATATAGTTTCCCTCTTTCTTATAGAATAACAGTATGTAATAACTATAATAAATTTGTATAACTAATTAGTTCTCCCAGAATATTATTTACCTTTAAGAAACAACGTTTCAATTCTGTTTATAGAATTCTTTCAGGTAAGTGACAATATTTACTTCATAGGCTTTGTCTTTTATATTGATGAGTATGAAATGAGACTCCTAGTGGCCAAGCCGGGAAGATTTCCATCTTGGAATCCAATGAAGGGGATTTAGTGGTTCAAGATCTGGACTGTGTTGAAGACTCAGAATTTTTTTTTTCTCCACACTGGAAAGACTCCAAAACCGCAAGAGCACATGCACTCCTTTCTTTCTCCCATGAAATAATTAGGGATGGGCTGTTTTTACTTTAATACTATGTCTTCTACTTTATTCTTTAATGTAATTTTAAAGGTTTCATAGCCACAAAGCTCTTTGTGGAACTCCATGAACAGAAATTATTACAGCTGATGTATAAATAGCAAAAAGTTTCAAATTTTTGAGATTTTTAAGATTTGAGGAGATGTGGCTTGAAAAATAAGAGTAAAAAAATATGTGATACATTACATGCCTTATGAGCTTAGGCTAACTAAATTTTAAAATGATAAAGTAATGCCGCTTTAATTTTAAATGTTTTAATAAAAATTTATTAAATATATCTTTAGTTATTCACAAGAGTTCAGATTCTTAGAATTTATGTCTTTGCAATTCTACATGCTCCAGTGAGGATGTACGTTCACCTACAAAACATGAAACTGATAAACTGAAGAAAAATATAAGATATTTTATTTACCTGTTTTTTCTACAGTGACAGCTTTTACCTGCTTTACCTTTTCTTCTGTGATAGGAAAAAATGTTAACAAGAGTAGAAATTTTGAATACATCATACAAAACATCGACAATATTTCATTCTTGATATTTTGTATTCTTTTTTGAAATAACACCAGTGCATGAAAGTTTTCCCAATAAAATAGTAAAAAATACCTTCTATTTAAATAGGAACCACAAAAAAATATTGTCTAATCTAGACATCCTCTGCACATATCATATTGCCGAGGAGTTCCTAATTCAGTTTGTCATATAACCTTCTAATGCAAACCCCACCCTTCACCTTTGCTCTGTGTCACTCTATTTATCTGTGACACAGAGGTAACTCTTTATTCATGACAGAATAAGAATAAAATGAAGCAGTTTCTCATCATTCTTGTGGAGGTACCTCCCTGAGATTCCAAAATGAGCTGGAGAACACAAATTTTTTATGGTGCAAGTTGGGAGAAAGCACATGTAAAATAAGGAAAGTCCTCTGTCTTCTCTGATTTTATAGAGTCAAGGAGATTTAACTCAAACTAAAGAGACTGTTACATTTAGCCAATATAAAATTAAACCTCTTAGCTGGGAGAGTGAACTTGCTGTTTAAATATTCCTTTTAGAAAGTTTCGTTGAGTACAAGAGAATTTAAAGAACAGGAAGGTTTGTAAGTGAAATTTAATATTTCTGGCTAGAAGACATACATTTGATATACACTCAGAAATAAACTCTCACTCTCTCTGTACTCTCCCCTCAAAATAGTTAACATTTAGAGTACAAGAAAATAACAGTTTCATTAATGACATAAACTAGGAGGCTCTAAAAGTTCTCTGACTACCCGGCAGTCCAGGCTTTTTTACTTTATTCGTATTTTTTCAAATACTGGTGTCTTAAACTTTTCAAGTCATACTTTTTCAATCCAATCCTACTGATTCAAACCCATTGAATATAGATTTTCTGAGGCCTGATTTTAAAAATGTAAACAAAATATTCCCTAAGATTTGTTTTCAGAAATAATATATTTTTTTTAATTTCTCAAAAATTCTGGCCCAAACATATTCAAGAACATCAAGAAAACAATTCATGGAACATCTGGAATGGAAAATAATATTCTACACAATAACCAAGACTTGGAGAGTCTCACATTTAAATTCACATTTAATCAATTTAAATAAAAACTACATTTCTATTTTTTTTAATAAAAACTAATTAATATCCTTGATTTGGTGAATTCTCTAACTTTCTTTACAAGAGAACCCCAATGGGTCCAGCTCAACTGTCTACAAAAGGTACCAACAGGAGAGTGAAAAAAAGGAGAAACAAGAATGGGGAAAAGAAAAAAGGAGGAAAGAAAGCAGGGAGGATGAGAATGACTCAATATCCTTGAGATTTGGGGAGTCAGGATGATCACATTTGAATGAGACAATCTGAATTATAAATTGTCTAAGGATATCCTGCCTACCACAGAAAAAATGAAAATATAGAGCTCAGCTGGGCACATAGCATCATCTGTAATCCCAGGCCCTGTTGACACAGAAAAGGAGGATCGCAAGTTTGAAGTCAGAAAAAATCAAAAGGGCTGGGGATGTAGATCAGTAGTAGATCATCCATGGGTTCAATCCTCAGCACTCCTCCACCTGCCAAAACTGTGCAGCCCATTCACCTGGATGCTGGTGATTATGGTGTTCATACTATCTCTGATGGGAAGGAATGAGTAGCTGTCTAGCTGGATCTGACTCATCACATTCTCAGTACAAAAAAGTATTAAGAAGATGTCTAAAATTGTAAATGTTCTAGAAGCTCATGACATAAGACATCAGTTGTCTCCAGTAATTTCAGACTTGACTGTATGCTCTTCCTTCTGCTAAAGCTATCACACTGAGAGATACTTTGAGACTACAAACACCACCTTCCAAATACCTGGTTTGTCATGAGAAACATTCTTATGTGGTTTCACTGTGTCTTGTTCTGAAAACAAAAATATAAAATCTTTTCAAGTATTTCTGACCTTGATAAGTTTATATTTAATGAATATGTATGAGTTAGGCCAGTGGTTTGTAAAACAGAAAATAACTACCAAACGTGCCCATAGAGAAAAAAAAAATTATAAATTTCCATGTGATTCTATTTCATATTAAACACTTAAAAGGTTTGATTCATGAAAACAATATATTCATAATAATAATTTACATTTAGGTGACTTAATTTTCAAAACATGGGCTATAATAAAGCATACACATAAAAGCATAGATTAAAATGAACTTAGAAATATGAAAATTTTCTTGTAAAACACTATAGATGAATTTTAAATGAAATTTTCATACATACTGTGGATTTGTGCCTTTTCAGATGAAGCTTAAAAAGAATAAATATATAACATATTTGAATTACACTACATGAAAATTTGTAATAATTAACAAAAATCAAAAAATTTAAATGGTAGACTGAACTAGCTTTAAATGATATTGGGCTTCTATTTTTTTTTTTTTAATGCATACATCTGGTAAAACCAGTAGTGACCAAATGTGATCAGGAAAATAAAAAGAGTAGATAAGTATTGTTAGTATTTAGATATGAGGTGTTCCCCATAAGTGCATGTGTGAAACAGAGCAAGAATTTTCCCAGGTGAGATGATTGAGTTATGAGAACCTTAACCTAATCAGTGGATTGATTCACTGATAGGGTTTAAAGGGGCAATAACTGTAGACAGGTAGGGTGTGATTGCAGGCAAGGGCCTTTGAAGTTTATATTTTGTTTTGGATGAGCAAAGCTCTCCCTCTGCTTCCTGATTGCCATGTCCTACCTTGGCTTCCTCCTCCACACCCTTCCAAGCATGTTCTCCCTCATCTCAGGCCAAACTGTAGTCAGCCATGGAGGGACTGAGATCTTTGAAACAAGATCTTTGAAACTCCCCCTCTTCTAATTGTTCTTATCAGCTGACTAAAACAGGCATTTATGAGCTTTGTTGCATGACAAATACATTTTTAGGAGAGCAAATAGATTCAAGCTATGATCAGATGCCAGGTGGGCACTCCAGTACAATATATTAGTAATAATTTTTCACACTTAGGTAAGAATTAAGAATTAAAGGAGTGAGGTAGTTTTATATATATATATATATATATATATATATATATATATATATATATATTCTGGATTTGAGGGAAAATATATATATATATATATATATATTAGTATATATTTTTATATAAATAAAATGAAGGAAGAGACTTGCCTCAAGTTAACAGCTAGTTAGTTCCAGAACTAGGACTTAAAGACTAAATGGTAATGTAAACTTGGAAAGATTACCCAATTTTTAAGTTAACGTATAAAAATGATTGTCTGGGACAGTCTAATAGTAGGAGTATAAAGTATCTGAAACAAATTAGAAATGGGCTAGAATCCTAGCTACAATATTAATTAGCTTGAAAATCCTGAAAAAATAACAGATTTTTCTAAACTTATTCTATTGATCTGTTTCCACAAATTATGAATGTATATAATAACTGCTATGTTGTGCGCTGGTCATAATCATATGATAAAAGTAAAAATGCATCATTAGTCTTTAGTAGATGCTTAATAGGTTCTTATCCCTCTTACCCTTTAAACCCAAGAAGTCCATGACTTTATGAATTTATAACTCTGATGATTATTATTAGAAATAAAGCCACAATTTTAACATGATCATACTCTACACCAAAAGATGTGTTCTAAAACCTAAAGCCTCTGCTGAGGTTTATTGAACTCACATTCTAGATAATTTTGTCTATGGGACATCCCAATTTTACCTAATTCAGTACTTTAAATTTATAGTGAACAATAAGTGGGGAAAAAATGAGGGGAACTGCAGGTTTAGCTCAATGATAGGGCACTTATAAGGAAGAAGGACCCCCTGGGTTTAAGTCTCCAATACTGATAAAGAAAGGACAAGAAAAAAAAAGGATGAGGAACTGGGAGACTGTGTCCCCTGGTGCAAGACAAACCTATATTTTATTTCTTAAATGAAAGCAAAGTCAGCTATGAAACTATTTAATATAAAAATATTGCTACTTGATTTTTACATCCTTTTAAATTTGTGCCTGGGTTGGGCAGGGAGACCATTTTAATTCTATAAAAAAATAATGAACCAGAACACAAATATATTTTTGGAACTCAATTTTTTCCATAATGGGAAAATAAATTTAATAAAAATTATTCACTTTTCTTGGTGGTTTGTCAATGATGAATTATTAAACACTCAATAGTTAAAAAATGCTATGCACATGTCTGTCATTAAGTTGTTGCTACTTATAATTGATTTAAATCTAAATTATCTATTTATTTTCAAGGTGATTGAAATGGGAATCAGTTCCAAAGTAATAAAAGTGATTTGGAAAAGAGTTGGAAGGGATTATCTGAAAGATCTAATTAGATATTTACATGATTTAGGAATTTAGATAAATAGTATTATGAATGTGCTTACTAAAAATTTTGTTGAGTTCTAACCCTCAATCCTGAGAATGTGACCGTCTTTGGAACAGGATTGCTGCAGATATAATTCGTTAAGGTAAGATGAGGTCATAGGAGAGTAGTGTGGGTCCTTACAATAGGAGAGAGACACAAAGGCAGAAGTTGGCCATGTGATGATGAAGGTGGAGGCTGAAGTGATGCATCTAGAAGCCAAAGGACATCAAGGATTGCTGGCAACCACCAGAGGCTAGAAAGGGCAATGAAGGTTTCTCCTCTAAGGATTGAGGTAGTGTTGTGTTTCCTCCAGAATTTTGAGTGAATAAATGTCTGTGCTTTTAAGCAACAGTTAGTGGTAACATAATCACAACCATCCAAGGAACAGATAGGTTTGGGTATGGGAATGTGGGGTGATTCTCCTGTCATAAATACCTACAAAATGGGAAGTGACTTTGGAATTAGGTCATGGGTAGAAGACGAAAGAGATTTGAGGCACTTTATAAAACAGCCTACATTCCCTTGATAAGACTAATATGGCCAATTGTGTGGCTGGGAAAAATGTTTGCTAAAGAATTTGGTTTGTGATTCACAGATCCAATTAACCACCTCAGCAGAAAATGAGAATACAGATGATTTGGTCCAAGACAGTGGAGGACCCCCTTATCCAATATCTTGAAACCTAATGGATTAAATAGGAGATTTAGTACAAATACTATACCAACCTGGACAAAAATTGACAGAAATAGAATGAAATGAAGGAATAATGACTCCAAAGTTAAAAATATGGATTCAAAGGCTTGGGATAATGGTCTCTTCAGCAGAGAGAGCAGAGCTATGATCTCATTGAGCCGAGAGGTCTGGGCCACCATCCCAGCACTGAGCAAAAGAAGACATTCTTAGAACCACACATTTGCTTGAAACTGACTACCCTTTTATTTTCTTCCAGTTTCCCCTTTGGAATGGGAATGTCTAGCCTATGATTATCTCACCATTTTATTTGGGAGAAGATAATTTTTTTATGGCTTTACAGGTGCACAGGTAGAAAGGAATTTTTGTACAGGAAGAATCATATTCCAAGATTCACCCATAACTAATTGAAATAACTTAAATAATTAAATTTGGAAGCTTTCGTTTGTTAGCATTTTGGGTGACATTCTAGACATAAGAGTTGATACTATAATGATTAAGACATTAAGGATGTAGGGATGGGAGGAATGTATTTTGTCCATATGAAAGACAAGAGGCAAAGGGTGAACCTTTTATAGAATGAATTGTGTCTTCCCCAAAGATGCTTAAGTCCTAACACGCATAGGTTATCTTATTTATAAATAGGGTCATTGCAGATGTAAATAGTTAAGATGTCATTATGGAGGAGTATGGGGTCCTTAGTGCATGATGACTAGTATACATATGAGAAGAGGGGAAGAGATACAGAGACAGAAGCACAGAGGGAGAAGATGGCATGTAATGAAGAAGGCAGAGATTGAAAGGATGCATCTGCGTGCTAAGCAACACCAAAGATTGCTGGCACCAGTATCCAGAAAAGATGAGCAAGGATTCGTCTCTTCAGGTTTCAAGAGAAACATGACCTACCTTGATTTTGGGTTTCTACCCCACAGAATTGAAAGAGAATTAGTGTCTATTTTTAAAGCCACCCAATATGTGGTATTTTATTGCAGACACCCTATGACATAAATACAATTAGGAAACATGAGCTAAAATTTTAAATGTTTTCAAAATTAGATTTCTGTGGGTTTTTTTTCCTTCAAAAATTTTCTGTTGCCTACTGCAGCCCCAGAAATGTTCATTTTGCTCAAAAGTCCAGAAAAAGAAAAGAATGAGAGGGGCTATTTTTTTCTGGTAGAATGTGTCCTAAAAGTATAAAAAAAAATGCAGTTTTATAAGAGTCTATCAGTCAATCGCTTCTTCTGAACCATACAAAACTCAGATTTCATGTACATTAAAAAAGATGTTTTCTGTTTTCTTCTGTGAATGAATAGCTTAGATAAATATGTATTTTTAAGTTGTTCACAATAAAATTGGACGTAATATCTCTGTTGGGGCATAACATTGCAAAGAATTGTATTATTCATTATAAATTGTACAATGTATGCATAGATTTATACACAACTATATACAAACCTGTTTTCTCTTCTTTCTTTTCCTGTGGCTCTAAAAATATAGACAAATATTAGTTATAATGATTATACAAATTGTTAATTTCCTATACTCATGCATGTATAGGAAATTATTCATTGTGTTTTAATCTGTCATATTTTATTTTTCTTAGGATTATGACAAATTAATATAAAAGACAAGTAAAGCTCTCTCACTATCAACCAAAATAAGAAGTATTTTGAGGAGAAATGGAAATGTGAGCTAAGATTTGTAAAACAAGGTTAGCAACATTATTGGATTATACCTCCAGTACACGGAAAATAAAAGAAAATTTCAGCACGGCATATTCTCAGAATTACACTTAAGGTAATAAGAACATTTTCTAGACAAAACAGTTAATGCTTTACTTTAAGCAAAATATTCAATGTGGAATCAGAGTATGAATAAAAACATGTATTTAAGATTTGTTTTATTTATTTGACATGCATATAACATACGTGGAGGTTTAGGCTTGACATCTTTGCCTAGAAAAAGTTGAAAAAAATATTAAAGTTTGAGTCAGACACTGCTTATCAAAATCACATTATGAAATATGATAGAAAACTATATATTTCACATTGAAAATTAAATGATATAAATCCCAGCTACACTTCCTTATTGAAATCATAGATACCTATAATTCAACATACATGGCCAAGTTATTAAGAAAAAATTTATTTTAAATAATAAAATCTATTGTAATTTTAAAAATAATTTGCCCACAAAATTATATGTGCAATGATAATTTTATTTTGTGATATTAAGAAAGAACACACATAATTTAATTTGAGAAATTACTTTTAAACTTTCATTATGCGTAGATGAAATATACAAGACTACTGTTTTCATTTTCCATAAAATTATCAATGTGTCATCTGTGTCAGCATAATAACATTTTAAAGGATTCCTGCTGAATTGGGAGTTCTGGACTACTGGAAATAGATGCTTATTGCATGTTAAGTAGTTGATGCAGGGATTGGAAAGCCTTTTCTGTAAAAGGTCAGATCATCCATGTTCTCAGGTTGGGGACTATATGACCTCTGTCACATTAATTCATCTGTGCTGTATAGGGCAGAAGCAGCCATAGACAATACTGTAAATGAATAGCAATGGCTTTATTTACAGAAACTGGTGACTGGTCTATAGGTCATTGTCACTCATTTTCTGTTCACAGTCAGTTTTAATTTTCTTTCCTTTTTATAACAATGAAGGTTTGCACAGAGAACAAAAACACCTTCCATTGATTCTTTGTTCCTTTACAAATGTTATCTAATACATTTCCATCACTACTCAACTCATCTTCCTTTGGCTCTTATTTAATCATTACTTCACTGTAATCTACATTTAATCTAACCATTCTATTTATCAAGACTCTCTGGTCTCAAATTTCTCCACTACTTGCCAAAACAATGGATATACTGAATCATATTGATCACTCTCTCCTTCTTTTTAAATCCCTGTTCACCTGACTTCAGAGAAAGATGAGTATAACACATTCTATTGTTTGGGGATGAATATTAATACTGCCTTTCTTTATTCTCAAAAGTGTCCTGGGGACTTTCACTTCTAGCTAAAACACAAAAGCAGGGACCTAATTACTTCTGGCACTGGAATCTAAAGAAACCAGAAAGAAGTTTGTGAAACAATGTTTCAAAAGAGGCTGGACCTCAGACAACAAAGAAGAGAAAAGCTTGAGGGACCAGAAACAAAGGGGACATACTCTAAGATTGCTTCAGTTTACTGCTTTGAGTACCCAGAAGATTCCTGAGCAGATGAGGCGGAGCTGGGAGTGCAAAGAAACCTATATTGCTAGAATAAAAGTGGAAGAATAGCATAAAATGGAGAGCTGCGGAGGGGAGAAACACAGTTCTGGAGACTTGTGGAAGGATGTCATAAGTCAGATGAGCACAAACTGCATATGAACACAAGGGGTCTAACTGAGTCCAGGAAAACAATGGCAGGAATATGAAAGCTTTATAATAAGAAGTAAAGTTGGGTGTTGTTCTTTTTCTTTAGTATTATATTTAATATTGGGGGTCATTTTGTATCCCTCATAAATTTTAGAATTGGTTTGTTAATGCCCACAAAATTATTTCAGGATTATTTTGTTGTTGTTGTTGTTGTTTTGGCAGGGGTAGGTACTAGAGACTGAACTGAACTCAGGGATGTTCTTCTTCTGAGCTACATATACAAACCACTTTTAAAACTTTTTTTTTTTTTTTAATTTTGAGACAGGGTCTCACTATGCAATGAAAGTTGGCAGAGAACTTGCAATCTTCCTGCCTCAGCCTCTCAAATTGCTGGGATTACAGGCATGCTCTACCATACCCAGTCATTTGTGGGATTTAGGTGAAGATCATCGCATTGATGTAGAATGGGGAGAACTGACATCTTAACAATACTGAACTTCACATCCACAAACATGAACTAGCTCTCAATTTATTTAAACATTCTTTGGATTTTTTTCCATTAGAGCTTTATTCTACTTATTTTTTATTTGTTTAAATTCTACCTAGCAGTTAGTTTAATTATTTTTCCTCAGAAAAATTATTTGATGTATTTGGTTTGTTTTTCCCATTTATAAAATAATATTATTTTATAAACTTCCTTACCATTATGTTCGTACCATTCTACTATAAATACCAACTTAAGTGAATGTCTTCTCTTCTAGGCTGTGACATATTTGAGGACAAAGGTCATATGTATCCATCATTGAATTGAAGTAATCCGTACAATGCCCATTACATGATTTAATAATAGGGACTGAAGTATTTTTGTTCATTATATAAATAACTAAAATAATTAGAACAAGACAAAATAAATAAATAGAGAAATTGAGCAAAGAAAAAAATAAATGTAGGAAAACACAAATTTATAAATTGCATTAGAGCCAGGCATGGTGGCATACACATATAATCCCAGCTACTCCAGAGGCTGAAACAGAAGGATCACAAGTTCAATACAAGCCTGGGCACCTTAGCCAGATCCTGCCTCAAAACAAAATTAAAGCTGGGCATGGTTGATGCACACTTGGGAGGCTGAGGCAGGAGGATTGTGAGTTCAAAGCCAACCTCAGCAAAAGTGAGACCCTGTCTCCAAATAAAACATAAAAAAAGGCTGGGGATATGTCTCAGTGGTTGAGTGCCTCTCAATTCAGTCCCCAGTATGAAAATATAAACAAACAAACAAATAAATAAAATAATACAAAATAATTTTTTAAAAGGGTCAATATAAAGCTCAGTGATAGAGTACTTTCCTAACATATGTGCTGTGTTCAATCCCTTATACTAGAAAAAGAAACTTGCATTAGAATACAAAATGCATGTTGAATTCCTTTGCCCATTTATTAATTGTGTTATTTGGTTTTTGAGTTATTTATATATCCTGGAGATTAATGCTCCACCTGAGGTTCAGGTGGAAAATATTTTCTTCCATTCTGTAGGTTCTCTTTTCATATTATTACTCTTGATTGTTCCCTTGGCTATGAAAAAGCATTTTAATGGGATTTCATCCCATTTGTTGATTCTTGATTTTACTTTTTGCACTTTAGGAGTCTTGTTAGGGAAGTCAGTTCCTAAGCTGACATGGTGGAGATTTGGAACTAATCTTTATTCTATTAGGTTCAGGGTCTCTAGTCTATTATCTAAATCCTTGATCTACTTTGAGTGAGTTTCTTTTTTTTTTTTTGCAGGGGAGAGATGGGGGTTTAATTTCTTTTTGCTTCATATAGATTTCCAGTTTTCCCAACACCATTTGTTGAAGAGGCTATCTTTTCTATAATGTATGTTTTTGGCTGCTTTGTTTAGTGTGAGATAACTATATTTATATGGGTTTGTCAGAGAGTCCCTATTCTGTACCATTGGTCTACATGTCTATTTTGGTGCCAATGCCTTGCCATTTTTGTTACTATAGCTTTGTAGTATAGTTTAAGGCTGGTATTGTGATGCCTCCCACTTCACTTTTCTTGCTAAGGATTTCTTTAGTAATTCTACTCTTATTTTTTTAAATGAATTTCATGATTGTTTTTTTTTCTATTTCTATAAATTATTCATTGGAATTTTAATAGGGATTTCATTACATTTTTATAATACTTTTAAGTGATATGGCCATTTGACATTGTTAATTCCGCCTACCCAAGAGCATAGGAGAAATTTCTAAAGTTTTCTTCAGTTTCTTTCTTTAGTATTCTGTAGTTTTCACTGTAGAAGTCTTTCACCTCTTTTGTTAGATTGATTTCCAAATATTTTGTGGGTTTTTTTGAGGCTATTGTGCTTGGATAGTTTTCCTAATTTCTCTTTCAGTAGATTCATCACATATGTATAGGAACTCCATTGATTTATGTATCTTAATTTTATATCCCCTCCTCTGCTGAATTCATTTATGAGTTCTAGAAGTTTTCTGGTGGAATATTTTGGGTCTTGTAAGTATAGAATCATGTCATTGTCAAATAGGGATCTTTGAGCTCTTCTTTTCCTATTTGTATCCCTTTAATTTATTTCCCCTGTCTAATTGCTCTGGCTGGAGTTTCAAGGACAAGGATGAATAAAATTGGTAAAAGAGGGCATCACTGTCTTCAGAGAGAATGCTTTAAAATTTTTTCACCAAAAACCCCAAATAACCCAGTTAATAAATGGGCAAAGGAAGTGAGCACATACTTCCCAGAAAAAGAAATAAGATTAATCAACAAATATATGAAAAAAAAGTTCAACATAACTAGCAATTACAGAAATGCAAATTTAAACTACACTGAGATTTCATTCACTCCAGTCAGAATGACAATTATCAAGAATATAAGCAACGGTAAATGTTGGTAAGGATATGAGGGAAAAGATACACTCATACATTGCTGGTGGGACTGCAAATTGGTGCAACCACTAAGGAAAGGAGTATGGAGATTCCTCAGAAAACTTGGAATGGAACCATCATTTGACCCAGTTATCCTACTCTTTACCATATACCAAAGTAATTAATATCAGCATACTACAGTGACACAGCCCCATCAATGTTTACAGCAGCTCAATTCACAATAGCTAAACTACGGAACCAACTTAGGTGCCCTTCATTGGATAAAGAAAATGTGGTATATATACACAATGGAATATTACTCAGCCATAAAGACGAATGAGATTATGGTATTTATCTGTAAATGTATGGAACTGGAGACTATCATGCTAAGTGAAATAAGCCAATCCCCAAAATCCAAAGACAGAATATTCTCTCTTGTATGGCTCTACTAACTTACAATAAGGGGGCAGGGATAGGGAATAATAAAAAGTTTATTGGATTAGACAAAGGGGAGAAAAGAAGGGGCATGGGAATATAAAAGACAGTAGAATAAATCAGACATAACTATCCTATATGCATTACACAACCAGTGTAATACTACATCATGTACAACCAGTAGAATAAGAAGTTATACTCCATATATGTATGTCAGAATATATTCTACTATCATGTGTAACTAATAAGAACACATAATATATTA